TTAAACTATAATTATAACTTTAAAAAATTACCTTTATAGTACTACCTACTATCATATTCCCAAGCACTATTATATGATCATCACTTTATTTGTATTAGTCCCTTAGCTCATTATTTTACATTTGTTAAATAATTCAGGTGCTATTTTTTAGCTTAAGACTATTTACTTTGTTTTATACTTAATTCTAACTATAGATTCACTACAAATCTTATGATTACAAGCATTGATCCTGATACCAACCTCTTATTTAATGACTTAAATGAATCAAACAGTTACTGTAATTACTACACTGCAGAACAATCAAAGGCACTTCTCAGTGCCAACAACAAACATAACTATCTTTAACTACAATATCAGATCATTAAGCAAGCATTACGATGACCTCATAGCATTACTAAATTCCTTACATGCCAATATGTCCATCATTACACTAACTGAAACCTGGCTAAAGCCTGATAGTACAGATGTCTATGCCATTCCTGGTTACACAGCCATACACAACTGTAGGCCAGACCAACAAGGGGGTGGCACAGCCATATACTACTCAGACCAACTAGAATGTATCACTAATACTTGCACAAGGGATGAACATGGGGAATATATAATAGCTAAATTCAAATCCAAATACCTACAAAAACCTCTCACATTGATAAACGTCTACAGAGTTCCACAGTCAAACATTAGCCAATTTAGTCAAAATCTAGGAAGTATGATAACTGATGCACGCATGAACAAAGATCACTTACTACTCTCAGGTGACTTCAATATAAATCTCCTGCAAGACCAGGACCCACACGTTACTGAATTCACAAACACAATGAGTAACTGTATGTTACTACCAACAGTAACAAAACCTACAAGAGTTACAGAGACTAGTGTTTCCCTACTTGACCACATCTGGACCAACACCATATCCCCTTTAAAATCAGGCATAATTACAGATAATACCACAGACCACTACCCTACTTTCCTCATAACAACTCTTGGTAAACTACCCCAAGACACTACTAAAGTCACCTTCAGACTTCACAATGAGGCAGCCATTAATAACTTCGCAACAGCATTAGCAAACATTGATTGGCACACTGAGCTAGAAATCTATACAGATATTGACGAATGTATTAATAATTTTCTAAAAAAGACCCAATACCTCTATAACAAGCACTGCCCTAAAAAAACTAAACAGATGACAGCAAACAGACTGAACAGTCCCTGGCTAACACCCAGCATTCTCAAATCCATAAATACAAAACACCAATATGAAAAACAGTACAGAATGGGTCACATAACCAGAGACCAAACAAAACGTTACTCGTCAATCCTAACCAGCCTGATAAGAAGGGCAAAAAAATTGTATTATGAGAACAGATTATCCAACTTACGAGGTGATATAAAAAAGACCTGGAAAACCCTATCAGAAATTCTGGAACAAAAAAGATATCACGAAATAGCGAAATAAAATTAGCAAAATCAGATGAACCCCAACTCCCACCAACAGAAACAGCAAACAGACTCAATGATTTCTTCTCCACTATAGGACAAAACCTTGCCCATAAAATCCCAAGCTCAGATACCCCACCAAATAACTACCTCACCGGCAACTACCCGAACACACTGTTCCTAGCTCCGACTAACCCATACGAAGTCTCCCTTATTATCAATGCACTAAAAAACAAGGCAGGAGATTTAAGTACCTTACCACCCTTTATATATAAAAAAGTGTCACAAGTGCTATCTCCAATCATTGCAACACTCTTTAACAAATCCATTGAATCCTCCACCTTCCCTACAGTACTCAAAATAGCAAGGGTCACCCGATCCACAAAGGAGGAGACCAAACAGAGTTGAATAACTATAGGCCAATATCCAACTTACACCCTCTCTCAAAAATCTTTGAAAAACTAATTCATAAACGAATCTACTCCTACCTTATCTCCCAGAACATACTCAACCCCTGCCAATTTGGATTCAGGCCTAATAAAAATACTAATGATGCTATTATACACATGCTAGAACATATATACACTGCAATAGAGAGAAAAAAGAAGTCCCACTGGGGATCTTCATTGACTTACGTAAAGCTTTTGATACAGTTGACCATGACTTGCTCCACGTAAAATTGTCACACTATGGTATAAGAGGGCACTCCCTCAATTACCTCAAGTCATACCTCAGCAACAGAAGCCAATATGTGTACGCAAATGGGGCAAACTCTTCTGCGCAACCAATTACAGTTGTTGTCCCACAGGGAAGTGTCCTTGGCCCTCTTCTCTTTCTCCTATACATAAATGACCTTCCAAATGCTTCGCAATTACTCAAACCCACACTATTTGCAGATGACACTACATACGTCTTCTCTCACCCGAGCCAGTCACACTAGCCAATACTGTAAATACCGAATTACAGAAAATATCTACCTGGATGAGGACTAACAAACTTACACTAAACATTGACAAAACCTACTTCATTCAGTTTGGTAACAGAGCTACAGATGTCCCTCTTAACATAATGATAAACGGATCACCTATCACAAAGCTAACAGAGGGAAAATTCTTAGGAATCCACCTTGATAATAGACTCAAATTTCATACACATATACAACAAATTTCTAAGAAAATTTCCAAGACTGTAGGCATACTATCGAAGATACGGTACTATGTTCCACAGTCAGCCCTCCTGGCCCTATATCACTCTCTTATTTACCCCTATCTCACCTATGGAATTTGTGCATGGGGCTCAACAACAGTTAACCATCTCAGACCACTAATTACCCAACAAAAGGCTGCAGTTAGAATGATAACAAATTCTCACTACAGGCAGCACACTCCACCAATATTCAATACACTAAACCTACTCACCATACAAAACATCCATACTTATTACTGCACCTATTACATACATAGAACACTTAACTCTGATATTAACCCTCCCTCAAACATCTCCTTGCCAACCTCAACAGAACACATGACCATAACACAAGGCACAGATCACTCTTTGATGTTCCTCGTGTTCATCTCACACTATGCAAAAACTCAATGCACATAAAAGGCCCTAAAATCTGGAATTCATTACCTGTAAATATAAAAGAAACACTACCTGTTTATAAATTCAAGTCTCTACTCAAAGATCACTTACTCACCCAAAACCAAATAAATACTGAATAACTGAACCTTATAAATTGTATATCTTAAATGTTTCTCACAATTATATCACATAAATGTTAAACCTAAAACCCAATCTAACTTTATTATTTTTTAAATACACTACCTAACAGAATCCTTCATATGACCTGTCTTTGTAATACTCACTTGTGCTTTATAGTAATCTGTTTACATTAATGTTTTATCACTGACTTCATCATTGCTTAATTAATCTTAAGTTAATTTTAAGCCAGCCCGTAATGCTATGCATAGTATAAGTGGCTTTGGCATACTGCTCTTATCTGTATTTTTTTGTACCTCTGTATGTGTGCACAAATTTATAATAAATAAATAAAAAAAAAAAAGAAAAACTACTGTAAGTAGTTTTATCAGGTTCGCTACTATCCACAGTTTTGGGTATCCGTGGTAGGTCTTGGAAAGTATCCCCTGTGGATACAGGGGAGGACTACTGTACTTTAATCCCTAAAATAGGGTTTAAACTCTCAGCATGTATATGCTGAGAGAAATATAACTCTCAGTATGTATCCTGTATTCATACAAGAAAATAAATACTACTTAAAGAATTCTACTTATTAGTTAAAACTGCAAGAGAATAACTTTTTATTTATATATTTATTATTATTTGGACATGATACATAGTTGTACAAAAGAAATACAGTGGTTGAGCGTACATGCCAAAAGCCCCTTGTATGCAGAGCATTATGGGCAGATTAAAATTAACTTAAGATTAACTAAGCAATGATATATTCAGTGGTAAAAATTACAGTAAACAAATTACAAAACACAGTTTACATGTAATAAAATATTGTTAAGCACAAAATTAAGCCACTAGCATACCTAGGCATGATAGTGGCTCTTTGCACTGTACCCCATTATTGTAATTTCATAATCTCAATGTAACCTTGCAAAGAAATAAGCTTTGTTTGTTTTATTTTTAGCAGTACATGATACAACTAGTACATTATTATTATTATTATAATCAAGGGGGAAGCGCTAAACCCGTAGGATTATACAACGCCTGGGGTGGGGATGTGGAAGGCATTCAGGCTTAATTCAGGGAACTAGTACAGACCTAGCTGACATCAATGATATACTACAGTCTACAGAAAGCTCCTGGTTATTACCTGGAGTTTACCTGGAGAGGGTTTCAGGGGCCAACACCCCCGCGGCTCAGTGGATCAGGGTCTGAGCAACCAGGCTGTTACTATTGGCTGCACGGAAGCTGACGTATGAACCACAGCCCAGTTGGTCAGGTACAGCATTTCTGGCAACTTAGGTTAATTTTGTCCCCCAGGATGCTACCAACAACAGTCAACTAACACCCAGGTACCTACTTACTGCTAGGCGAACAGGGACAGCAGGTGTAAGGTGACTAACACCCAGGTACCTACTTACTGCTAGGTGAACAGGGACAGCAGGTGGAAGGTGACTAACACCCAGGTACCTACTTACTGCTAGGCAAACAGGGGCATCAGGTATCAAGCAAACATGCCCACCGTTTCACTCATGCCGAGGATCGATCCTGGACCCTCAACGTGTGAGCTGAAGAAGCTAAAACGGGGTCCGCATCTGACACATTCATCCTGGTGCTCTAAATCCGTTAGGGTCATTAACGACTAGGGAAGTATGGGAAAGTGCAATCAGGTTTCATCTGAAGATAGGTTAGGCAAGCTTGGTCAGGAAACAGGACAAGTGTTTCCTGAGGCGGGTCTTATTCATATTATGACCCACCACTGAAGCTTTTGGTCATCTGACCGAGGCCTTCCACCGGCTTATCCGTTAAAAAATCAAGAATAACCACAAGAACTAGAGTTCAACCCAGTTACAATTCAGTCTTACCTCTTTCCCGGCTCTGTGAGTGCAACTCTGTACACTGCTGAGCATATATAGTAGATCACAGTGTAAGTCAGCAAGTCCATCCATACTAATTTGTACACACTGCCTCGCCACCTGCAACACAAGTATAACAGGTATGACACAAGTATAACAGGTATAATACAAGTATAACAGGTATAACAAGTATAACAGGTATAACACAAGTATAACAGGTATAACACAAGTATAACAGGTATAACACAAGTATAATAAGTATAACATTAACCATACCCCGGCCGGGATTGAACCCGCGATCAGAGAGTCTCAAAACTCCAGACCGTCGCGTTAGCCACTGGACCAGCTAGCCACAATAAGATTCGTCCAACTAGGTATATTTCTACACCATAGGAAGTATAGGCCACCACTGTGACCACAAATGCAAGTTTTTAGAGACGAATCTCCAGCTAGCGTGGCCGTGACGAACTCTAGCTCAAGTCCCTTCACTGCCGTCAACATGACGGCAGGAGTTTTGAGACTCTCTGACCGCGGGTTCAATCCTGGCCGGGGTATGGTTTGTTTGCAATCGTGTCATTACGATTTCGTGAGTCAGGTAATAACATTATTTAGGTGGTAAGTTTTGCCAATAAAACAGACAATGTTTTTTGTATATATATATATATATATAAATATATATATATATATAATATTATATATATAGATATATAATATATATATAAATAGATATATATTATATATATATATAATGTATATATAATATATATATATATGTATATATTTATATATATATATATATATATATTTATATATATATATATATGTATATAATATATATATATATATGTATATAATACATATATAATATATATATATATAAAATATATATATATATAGTATATATATGTATATATGTCTATAAATATAATGAATATATATATATATGTATATATATATAATATATATATATATGTATAATATAATATATATATATATTATAGATATACATGTATATTTATATATATATATATATATATATATATATATATATATATATATGTAATATATATATATATGGTATATATATATATATATATATCATATATATAAGTAATATATATATATAGATATGTATATTATTAATAAAAATATGTATAATATAATATATATGTAAATATATATATATATATGTATATATATATAAATATATATATATAATATATATATATATATATATAAATATATATATATATATATATATATATATAGATATATAGATATGTGGTCTGGTAATATATATTTATGTAAATATATGTATATATATGTATATATAAGTATATATATATATATAAATATCTATATATATATAAATATATATAATAATATCTATAAAAATATAGATATAATATATGTTTATATATATTTTTTTTCAACAAGTCGCCGTCTCCTCCACCCAGGCAGGGTGACCCCCAAAAAAAGAAAGAAATCCCCAAAAAGAAAATACTTTCATCCATCTTCAACACTTTCACCACACCGACACATTATCACAGTTTATTGCAAGGTGCCAGAACCACATCTAGAGCATACACATAAAAGATACCACAGCATATCCCTCTCCAGCACTGCCGATATCCCAAACCCCTCCTTTACAGTGCAGGCAATTGTACTCCCATTTCCAGGACTCAAGTCCGACTAATGAAAAAAAACCCGGTTTCCCTGAATCCCTTCACTAAAATTACCCTGGCTCACACTCCAACAGATCGTCAGGTCCCAAGTACCATTCGTCTCCATTCACTCCTATCTAACCGCTCACGCACGCTTGCAGGAAGTCCAAGCCACTTGCCCACAAAACCTCCATTACCCTCCTCTCATCCAACCCTTTCGAGGATGACCCCTACCCCGCCTTCCTTCCCCTATTGATTTATATGCTTTCCATCTCAATTCATTCTACTGGATCCATTCTCCTCTAAATGACCAAACCACCTCACCAAACCCCTCTTCTGGCCCTCTGACTAATACTTTTATTAACTCCACACCTCTCCTAATTTCCACACTCCAGAATTTTCTGCCTAATATTTACCCCACACATTGCCCTTAAACAGGACATCTCACTGCCTTATCCCACCGTCCTCCACGCTGCTGCATTTACCACCCAAGCTCACACCCATATAAGAGTGTTGGTACTACTATAGCTTTCATACATTCCCTTCTTTGCTCCATAAATAACTTTTTGACGTCCACATAGACATCACGCACCACTCAACCCTTTCCCTCATCCAATTCTATGATTAACCATCATCTTCATAAATCCATCCGCCGACACAGTCACTCCAATAACTGAAAACATCACTTCTTCCATACTCCTCCTACCCAATTTTATATCCAATTTGTCTTTATCTAAATCATGACACCCCCTCACCTTTACCTTTTCTATGTTCACTTTCAAACTTCTCTACCTTTACACACACTTCCCAAAACTCATCCACTATCCTTTGCAATTTTTTCTTTGAATCTCCCATAAGCACAGTATCATCACAAATGTAACTGTGTCAATTCCCATTTTTAATTGATTCCCCAAAATTTTAATCCCACCCCCTCTCCCGAACCAACACCTAGCATTTACTTTTCCTTTACAACCCCATCTTAAATTATATTAAACACATGGTGACATTACACATCCCTGTCTAAGACCATACTTTTAACCCGGGAAGTTAGTCTCCTCTCTTCTACAATCACCCCTAGACCTGAAGCCTCAACAATCCTCATAAAAACTCTTTACAGGCATTTAATAACCTTACCACCTATTCCATATACTTTGCAACGCTAAAATCTGCCACATTGCTTCCTCAATCCACACTATCAATGCCTTTTCCTAATCATAAATGCAATATAAAACTTCCCTACCTTTATCTAAATACTGTTCACATATATGCTCAATGTAAACACTTGATCTACACTCCCCTACCCACTCTGAAACTCCCTTCTCATGCCGCAATCCCTAACATCTGTCTTACCTCTAATTCTTTCAATTATAACCCTACCGTACACTTTCCTGGTATACTCCAGTAACTTAATTCCTCTATAATTTTTACAGTCTCTTTGTCCCCTTTCCCTTTATATAAAGGGACGAACATGCTTCTCCCGCCAATCCTAGGTTACCCTTTCCCTCTATCATACATTTATTAAACAAAATACCAACCACTCCAACACTATATCCCCCTCTGCTTTTACATTTCTGTCATGATCCCATCAGTTTCCAGCGCTTTATATATATATATATAATATCTTATTATATATATATATATATATAAATATATATATATATATATATATATATATATATATTCTATATAATATATAAATATATATAATTTTGCACCAAAAGAATCTTAGAAAACTTACCTACCCTTATTATAACAAGAACAATTTATTTTAGCCTAACCCAACTAAATATATGTTCAGAATTTTGTTACAATAATTAATACTACCACAACACAGTGAAATATATTGTTTTCGTTAGGTTCAGAATTGATTTGGCGAATTATTGCATACACAAATTTTTCGCTTGTCCTTATATGGCAAGATGGAGCATTGCTCTTTAAGCCAAGATCACACGTTTTTCTCTATTTCGGCATGAGAGCGACATCTATATAGATATATGATATATATACATATATATATATATATATAATATATATATATATATATAGTATAATATATATAATATATAAATATAAATATAATATATATAATATATAATATATATATATATATATATATATATATAATATATATATATATACTTTATATAATATATATAATATAATATATATTATATATATTATTTTTTTTTTATTTCACACGGGCCGATTCCCACAAGGCAGGGTGGCCCGAAAAAGAAAAACTTCAACCATCATTCACTCCATCACTGTCTTGCCAGAAGGGTGCTTTACACTACAGTTTTTAAACTGCAAACATTACACCCATCCTTCAGAGTGCAGGCACTGTACTCCCATCTTCCAGGACTCCAAGTCCGGCCTGCCGGTTTTCCCTGAATCCCGCATAAATGTTACTTTGCTCACACTCAAAGACGGCAAGTATTAAAAAAAAACCATATGTCTCCATTCAACGTCCTATCAAGACACGCTACACGCATGCCTGCTGATTCCAAGCCCCTCGCACACAAAACCTCCTTTACCCCCACCCTCCAACCCCTTCCTGCCGACCCCTTCTCCCGCCTTCCTTCCCACTACAGACTGCTACACTCTTAGAAGTATTCTGTTTCGCTCATTCCGCTCTATAACATGATCCAACCACCTCAACAACCCTTCTCAGCCCCTGACAACAGTTTTGGTAATCCCGCACCTCATCCTACCTTTCCAAACTACGAATTCTCTGCATTATATTCACACCACACCTTGCCCTCAACATGACTCTCCACCGGCCTCCAGCCTTCTCCTCGCTGCAACATTCATCACCATAGCTTCACAAACACAGATAAGAGCGTTGGTAAAACTATACTCTCAAACATTCCCCTCTTTGCTCCAAGGACAAAAGTTCTTTGTCTCCACAGACTCCTAAGTGCAACCACTCACCTTTTCCCCCTCACAATTCATGAATCACCCATCTTTCATAGACCCATCCCGCTGACAACGTCCACTTCCCAAAATATTCTGAATACGTTCACCCCTCCATACTCCTCTCCCTCCAATCTGATATCATCTTTCATCACCTAATCTTTTTGTTATCCTCAATAACCTTATACTCTTTCCTGTATTCACCTTTATTTTCTTCTTTTGCAACCCTACAAATTTCATCCACCAATCTCTGCAGCTTTCTCTTCAGAATCTCCCAAGAGCCAGTGGTCATCAGCAAGAGCAGCTGTGACAACTCCCACTGTGTGTGATTCTTTAACTTTAACTCCACGCTCTTGCCAAGACCTCGCATTTACCTCTCTTACAACCCCATCTATAAATATATTAAACAACCACGAGACATCACACATCCTTGTCTAAGGCCTACTTTTACTGGAAAAAATTCTCCCTCTTTCCTACATACCTCTAACTTGAGCCTCACTATCCACCGTAAAAACTCTTCACTGCTTTCAGTAACCTACCTCC